GTAGCGAATCGCGCGAATCCCTAGTAGCGAATCGCGCGGTTTTCAAAGTCTGACATCGGCCTTACGTTTTCTTTTCTCTGAAGCCAATGCACTCGTCCACTAGTAGACAGCATTCGTAAGTGCCCTCGAGCCAGCTGCTGGGGTCCGTGTTTAGGGTCAAAGAGGTGCTTCGGCACCCGCCCCTGTCGTGCTGCGGCCTCGGCAGTCGGTTATCTTCAGGGCTCGGTGGTTCGTGCCTCTGGTCTACTTCCTGCAATCCCAGGAATCAGCAGCCTTGTTGTGGCGTCATGTATGGGGCTGGCGTTTAAGCACATTACCCCTAACTCAAACTTGCCTAGATGGTTCTATGGAGTTCTTTCCCCAATGTCTAATTTACTGGATATTTTAGTAAGTCAATCGATTGTGCCTCTAATTAAGATACTATCTTATCACTCTGTTTTTTCACACTCTGTGATTGACCAACAAATAAATAAATAAAATTGCTCTGCTTGGCAGCCTTGCGAGAGCTCCCTATCCTCGACGAGTCGTCGACGAATCCTCGACCGATTTTCACCGTGCTGTCGTCAGTGTGTAAAAGCGCTCCCTAGGGTGTGTTTCTCGCAACTGTTATTGTTCCGTCCAGAAATGTAACGTCAAGAGCCTCCTTCCCCTGTAAGTGTTTAGGCTAGGTAACATACAGCAACGCAAAACTGTCTAAGCTGTCTGCGCTCACTAAGCTCCTATTTTCTACTGCCTAGCCGAAAGCTGTCTCAACTAAGCCGCTTTCTGCTAAATCTCATGACATAGCCACTAAGGTTTTCGATGAAAATGAGGATAGTGTCGACATCATTCTAGTTCAAACGATGTTCGCATCTCTTCTCGGTTACCCTGAAGAAGGTATGCTTGCACGTATTCCTATTACTATGATAGTTTAACTTCCGTCAAAGGGCACTTGCGAAGCGGAAGCCTAAGCACTCATTTGGGTTTTCCATTCCCTTCAGTGTTTTTAGTTTCAATATTTGTTTCCAATCAACTAGTCTATTTCCTTGCTTTTCAATAACGAACTTTTTCGTTTACATAAGATTTATAATTATAGTTACATATATGAAATAGTCTAAATAGTATTGTGTATGATAATGATTAAGGTTGAATCATAAATTTCATGGAATCTCTAGATAATTTTGTTGCTTAGTGTTGTTGCCTAGCACTATCGTGAAGACCTCTTGGAATACGGTTGCGAAAAAAATATTTTTGGCGCTATCGCAAGGCATGGCAGCATCCTTCGGAACTGGGCCCAGCTGGGGACAGAAACCTCTGGAAAATAAAACAAAATGTTCACGCAATCTGGAGCCTCTTCGACTCCACCTAAGGCTTAGTCCCATTTTTGACAGAAAGCAGATGTTTTACGCGGTTTGAAATGCATTACCACCACAAAGGCCCCGTATCTTGCGATAACGCCAGATTTTCTCGAAGGATACCTTTTGATTGTGGAAAAGGTATCCTTCGGTTCATGAGAATATCGAAAAGCCGAAATCGCACTAGTTGTTTATTCATTTGTTTATGCTTTACTATTTAATTTGTGAGTTGTAAGGTTACAACAGAGGAAGCATTACGTAGATTCGCGAGGATGAATTCTGAAGGTGAGATGAATAATTCTAATTTTTTTTTCGAAACTTAGTAAGAACACCACAAATACGCGTGGTACTCTAGAGAACGCACAATTATTTTATTGGTTGAATTGTTCTGCTTTTGAAAATCGTAAGTAAGTGATAGATTTGTAATCTTAAAGGACGATTCACGATGAAAAAGCAACCCATTTCAAATCCTAGGGATGGTGAGTGGTACACTAAAGAAGGAAGAACCATGAGAAACGGCCCAGAACCCGAGAAATGGTACCCCTTCCTTGCCCGTTGATTCGAGCATTGATGCGACTCTCATCGCTGTGCCCTCTTCAACACTACGCTCTCTCAGCTATCTAATCACTCGCCACGTATTGAACTACGGCGAGTGATCAGATGATCGGTGGGCGGAGATCGCCGGACCCGCCAGCTTTGAGGCATGATAGGTCGCCGAGGTCAAATTTTTCCATGCGAATTGCGCGTCAGTTCGCACCCTCAGGAGGTCCGTGGGTCCCTCAACTAGGTCAGTTTCCCTTTCTTCGACCTTCATTCTAATCGTGAATTCCTCCTTTAAGTGAATTTACCTCACTCTCCCTCACGCAATTTGTAGATTCCCAATAATTGTCTATTCCACAAGACCCCTTTTTGAGCTTTTTAAATGCCATTTCGAAGAAAAAAATTAAATGTAATCAAAATGAGCAGCCGGAAAGTACTGTGCGGCAAGGTTTCCTGAATTCAGACCAAAAAACCTGTTATAAGCGGAAAAACCAAGTTGCATGCTGATTCCGCTAGTGTTTCTTCAAAAATGATAGTGCTCCGGTACAGATTAACTGGATGCGTCATGCATTCCGAGTCCATCCAGAATTATATGGTGCGTGAATGCGACTCCTGCTATAACTTACAATCACATGCGCAGTTCTGGGTTTGCCCGAGGTGAAGACCTGATTATCCTGGTAGGCCCAATTCATAGGATTGATCCCGACCCGCGTCAGACGAGACATTTGCCACTGCACGCAAATCTCCTTCATTTGTCCACTTTGGTCCACTGTATTTTTAGACGGACGGAGCAATTTCATTTCAAATCTTGTCGGACCGCACACGATATACCCTCGCCTTCAAATGACCAGAAATTGTGCAATTGCAGAAATTGACGTGGCATTAACGTGGCATCGATTCAAGAACATCTTTGAGCACACGTGATGTCACCTTTTCATCGAGAATTTAGCCACGTGTGCCAATGCCACGTCAATTTCTGCAATTGCACAATTTCTGGTCATTTGAAGGCGAGGGTATTAGGAAAGGTACGGCGCAGAAAGGACACCATATCACTTGAGATTAACCTAGGGAATTCGGATTGCACTTATCTTAGCACAAGGCCAGCATATCTGGTTCCTTGTCCATATTTTTCCCATTCCCCTTGCTAATCAGGTTTGAGCTACTAAGATCTGCTATGAAACCGCAGTTGCACATACATTAGGATCGCATGCCCGTGCATACGCTTTAAACAACTTTGGTTTTCAGACTGTACTGAAGCCGAACTTGACTTTTTTTTGCCATCGAAGTCGTCCACCTGGGCGCGTGCCCCGCCCATCGTGGGCGGGGTCCACCAAAGCCCATGCGTATTCCATTGTTCCATGCAAAAAGGCAAATAAAAAAGGAACCCACGGGAACACAAAAAAACGAATCAACCAACTCAGTCCAGTGGTGATCACTGCTTCTTTTTTGTTTTCGGTACCCCCCACGGTGGGTCTTGAGGACGGAAATTCGTGGTGGACAGGACAAACGCAGAATAGACAAACACACCGATCTGCTGTTTTATATATAATAGATAGTAACTTATGAGATTTTTTATTTCTTATATGGTCATTTTTCTTGTGTTTCTCAAGTGCGACTTAAAAATAAAAATAAAAAAAAATATAGATAAAGGAAAGATGTAATGAAATGAATGCAGAACACAGTGTCATTACAGATCCGTCTTTGATTGTGAACGAATGGGAGGATCTGTTTCGTACTCAGTCGGAATCGTCGTTATCTCGAATGATCATCGACGGAGAGTTGGACCTGTGCCAAGCACCACCGATGCCACAGCACGAAGAGATGCTCACACGATTGGCACAAGTCCAGGTCAACATGAATTCCAGCTGTTTAACTTCATTTCTAAATTATTTCTCCCCTAGGCTAGATGAGAAAACTTATTAAAATAAAAAGATAACATTGAAATCACAACATAAAGAGTTTATTTGTCTCAGTCATAATTAGGTTTGATAGCGCATCTTTTTTAGCCGACTACTTTTTTACTGTACCATTGTACCTTATTATCTTCCCGTCATTGTGATAATTACGCATAAATAAATAAATAAATAAATAAATAAATAAATAAATAAATAAATAAATAAATAAATAAATAAATAAATAAATAAATAACTAAATAAATATATAAATAAATAAATAAATAAATAAATCAATACGTTTCTGCTCTCCAACTTCCAACATGAATATGTAGCTGTGTTCGCTAGAAGCAACTTACAAAGATTGATGCAAGGAGATTCAGTTTCCGAAAAAAAGTAGCCTACGAAAACTTCACTCTGGGACGAGCGAGGGTAGGTCGGGCGGAAACAAGGAAACGCATGGAAAAAATTGGGGTGACCACGTATTGATACAATCGTGTTAAAGCGTTTAAATTCGGAGAACAAAGACAAAACGATCGATAAAACGTAGGTGCAGTAGAAAAGAGAAATGTTATTGCCATAGGTGGAAAAGGCCAAAAAGAGTTCCTAGTGAAGGCACTCCGAGAACCAAGTGGAATCGTTCCCGTCGCCAACATTTGTGACAGATGTACGGCGGGAATTTGAACGCGTAACAGTTCTTCCGATTTTTCGAATTGTTTACCAGAACAGCGCAATTTTTTCTGTTCTTTTGGTTCTTATCGTAAATTCTTTTCTCGGCCGTCGTCCTTTGTGGTGTGTGGTCTGCGCTCGACGCTCTTCTCGTTTTCCGAAATAGAGGGTATTTGGTAGTGTTTCGTCCTTAAGCGCTTCCCAATCTTCCAATTAATACAGCGAAAATTCCAAAGTGTTCGGCATTGATGAGACCATTTTGAGGTGCGCTGTGCACTCCGAATACCCTCCTAAAGTGACATTTTGTATGTGGTTGGGCCTATGCAAAAATTACTTTTACTAGTCGAATTCACACCTTTTATCGGCCCAAAGCCTGATGCCAATCAACCGACCTCAAGTCTGTTCGAGGCTTGATCAGCCCTGTTGGGATTCGTTCCAAGTCGCGACCTTCTGATCATGTGAGTGGCACGCAGCGCCGCCTGCCTCTACACCATTTCCGCGCTTTACGTTTGGGACAACTGTCTATCGAAATCTGTATTAATCCAGCAATGAAAGTGGTTGTTAAGTAGCGTTCACATGGTGGCACGAACGACATGTTGGGTTGCTGTCAGAGTCCGCAATCCATCGCGCGATTCGCGGACTCTGACACCAGCCTTACAAAATTGTTCCCACTTTGTTTACTGTCACTGTTTTCTGAATAACTATCGTGTTTTAGGCACAAATTCTTGGTATCTGGGACGCGATTGCGGCCGAAGACGAACGAACTCTCAAGCAGCTTCTCTTTCAGAAGGACATGGCACTATGCAGGGACCAACACGGACGTACTCCGTTACATTTGGCCTACAGGTAAGAGAATCTGGTCAACACAGCTTTAAACCTCAGTTATTCTGTCTAATTATAGCGATTCACATTCAGGAGAGCATATCAACCTTGTATCGACTATTTGTTGAAATTGGCACCAGAAGCGGAACTGATTCGAGACAAGGTAAACAACATTTTTTGAAAAGTTCAGTTTTCAAAAAAAACAGTTTTCAAAATTCGCACATCGGGGACGGGACACGGACACCTGGGCGGGGCCAGGAATCATGGAACGTAGTGCGTTGTGAGCGTATACATATGAGGTGAGGTAAAAACAAATCAATTCAGGAGAGAAGATTTCGTTCAAAAATTAGACCTCCGTCGACGTCGATGAAGCCCAACTATTAGTTTGTTGTGGGAATATTGAATAATGAAATGAATTGAACTGTGAATATTGAAATGCTGTGGGTGTAATTGCTGAATAGAAATTCCTTTTGCAGAAAGGACGACTTCCTCGAGACTACGCCTCCAAACTGACGTCGAAGGATGGTTCTAAACGTGACGTACGCAGGGTCAGTCTGACTTCTAGCTTGGTCAGATTTTTTACAAGTTAACTTTATAGCCGGAGCAGTGGTCAGATGTCTTTTCTTAATTCTTCGTGAGAAAGCCAAAAAATTGGGTAATCCGAAGGGCAACATTTCTGCCTTCGATAAGCCATCTAGTGATTTAGTGATTAATCAAGACTTCCAGGCTTTTGACTCCTACTCCTACACTCGAACAAGGGGTAGGCTAACCGTTGACTCAAATTTCGTGGCCTACGAGTTCGCATCTTCTAGAGGGTTCAAATAGCCCTCACGCACACATCCGCCCTTCTTCCAACACAACTTCCATATCCAAAGATGAGCAAGGAGTGAAGTTTCACGAGCTGGTAGCTTTATAACTGATGAAATGGCAGAAAATGCGAAATTTCTCACAAATTAGAGAAATAAAAATAGAAAAATATAGATATAATTAAATGATAAATGTGAATATTTAACAGTACAAACAAAAACAAATTATAGTATATTGCCGTTTATGCGACACACAAATTAAAAAAAAAAAATAAATAAAAACAAAGATAAAAAGTAAGCCATCAGATGTTGGTCAATCCTTCCGAGATGTGCCGCGTATTCTACCTCCGTTGGAATCCAATGGCATTTGCTTGCAAGTTTACCAATATGGTGACTCGCTGGGGCCAGCCTACGTAAAAGAAAAATTTTTCTCCCCTGACAACTCTGCTAGCAGTTCACCTTACCCGGAGGGATGGACTTTACATATTTATTTGTTTATTTAGAATTTAGGAAGCTACGCTAGCCCGAACGACAAAATCAAAACCTAATTTACGAGCTACATCAAGCAGTGCTACTTACCATTTACAGCCGTCGCTCCAACCCCTGCCGGTGTTTGTTAGCAACACCAAAAGTTGTTTTTAGATTTCAATATTATTAGATGTACTTTTTCAAAATTCATTTAGGGAGGGGTGGGACTCAAAGAGTAAAAAAGTATAAAACTTCCCCTTTCCTCTTCCCATGATCCCAAGCGCGACGGCGTAGCCAACCAGGGATAATGCTTACTGCATGTGGAGCTGGACTTGTGTTGTGACGTCGCTTCACGTCAGCATCCTTCTTTCCCTCCCGTCTAAGTCGTCTTGATAAATCGGATGTCGCTATTCTGATGCGCCAGGAATATCAAGAATAGTGTCATCGGCTTATCCGCTCTGCAGAATGTTTGACTGCTAATTGACGCCACGCCTCAGCTCCACTGCCACATCCTGATATTGAGGCGAAGGTAATCGCTAGACTCGTATCAACCGGCGCCAGCGTTTCCTCACAGCTGCTACTCATTTCTTTCAGACAGTCCGAAGAAAACACGCCATTGGGTAAAGCTCTATCATTTGTTTGCGTCTCAGTAATATAAGGCAGATCGAAAATACTTAATTACTGCATTTTTTCAAGTTTGTCGATATTTGGAATTCTATTTTTCTCGTGTTTTTCTGGGAAGTCATGTTGCATTGATATAATTCGCTGAGAAATCTCCAAGGCCGTTATGCGGGATCCCATAAGTAATGCACCATGTTTTTATGTGTAACTTCTCTCAAAACGGAACTAATTTGAAATGGTCATAATTTATTTATTTGAAACGCCGCATAAGCCAAATGTAAGAAGACATCACCACCGAACAACATCAACAACAACAGGTCCTACACCTTAACTAGGAGCGCCGTGGTTACGCCGTACTTGCCTCTCTCACTCGCTCTGAACACGTTCCCCCTCCCTTCCCTTCACATGGTTTTCTAGGGTTACCTTTTCAGCATATTTTTGCAGAAAGAGGGTCTCAGCCCATTTCTGAAGGCAGTGTTTGCTGAAGGCAGCCTTCACTTTTGAGGTAGCCAGGTCTTTGCAAAGATCTGGCGCCATTGTCGGCCCTTACGGCCACAACGGAGTCATATCATTGCATCATTGCAAAAACGGCTT